TTAATGTGTAATGAGTTTAAGTCATTACCGGTAATACCAACTTTATTGGTAGTTGTTTACATGTGTTTTGAAATGTAATATTCACATTCTGTTAGTATTATTTAAGGTATTGTGACATTTTATCATCGCTTGTATTGTAGCAATGTTTTTATATTATGTGGTAATGTTAGGGTTTAATTGGTAAATAAACATGTACATAGGTAGCCTTTGAGCTCTGTTGAACTACATTGTTCCAATGTTCTATGTGATATTAATTTTTGCAATGTATTTATTCGACCTGGTTGAGGTGTCACTGTGTTTAGGTATGTCATGTCTTCTAATATGTCAATAATACGTTATTCGTTATGGTTTTATGATTTGGTGCTCCTGTATCACCAATGATTGTAAGACTTATTAAATATTTCTTGCTTAATGATAATTCATGATGTTTCTTTTGGTGTGCGTGTGGGGGGGGGGGAAGTGACAAAATTTTAAGTCACTATCGGTAATAATACTTTTCTTTGATAATGGATCTCGAATGTTGCGTGTGAGAGTGTAATACCATTGTAATGTATGGTGTGTGTGTGAGTGTAATACCACTGTAATGTATGGTGTGTGTGTGAGTGTAATACCATTGTAATGTATGGTGTGTGTGTGAGTGTAATACCACTGTAATGTATGATGTGTGTGTGAGTGTAATACCACTGTAATGTATGGTGTGTGTGTGAGTGTAATACCACTGTAATGTATGGTGTGTGTGTGAGTGTAATACCATTGTAATGTATGGTGTGTGTGAGAGTGTAACACCATTGTAATGTATGGTGTGTGTGAGAGTGTAACACCATTGTAATGTATGGTGTGTGTGTGAGTGTAATACCACTGTAATGTATGGTGTGTGTGTGAGTGTAACACCATTGTAATGTATGGTGTGTGTGTGAGTGTAATACCACTGTAATGTATGGTGTGTGTGAGAGTGTAACACCATTGTAATGTATGGTGTGTGTGTGAGTGTAAAACCACTGTAATGTATGGTGTGTGTGTGAGTGTAATACCACTGTAATGTATGGTGTGTGTGTGAGTGTAATACCACTGTAATGTATGGTGTGTGTGTGAGTGTAATACCACTGAAATGTATGGTGTGTGTGTGAGTGTAATACCACTGTAATGTATGGTGTGTGTGAGTGTAATACCACTGTAATGTATGGTGTGTGAGTGTAATACCACTGTAATGTATGGTGTGTGTGTGAGTGTAATACCACTGTAATGTATGGTGTGTGTGAGAGTGTAATACTACTGTAATGTATGGTGTGTGTGAGAGTGTAACACCACTGTAATGTATGGTGTGTGTGAGAGTGTAATACTACTGTAATGTATGGTGTGTGTGAGAGTGTAATAACACTGTAATGTATGGTGTGTGTGAGAGTGTAATACTACTGTAATGTATGGTGTGTGTGAGAGTGTAATACTACTGTAATGTATGGTGTGTGTGTGAGTGTAATACCACTGTAATGTATGGTGTGTGTGAGAGTGTAATACCACTGTAATGTATGGTGTGTGTGAGAGTGTAATAACACTGTAATGTATGGTGTGTGTGAGAGTGTAATACTACTGTAATGTATGGTGTGTGTGAGAGTGTAACACCACTGTAATGTATGGTGTGTGTGAGAGTGTAATACCACTGTAATGTATGGTGTGTGTGAGAGTGTAATACCACTGTAATGTATGGTGTGTGTGAGTGTAATACTACTGTAATGTATGGTGTGTGTGAGGGAAACCCCCTGAAATGTATGGTGTGGTGAGAGTGAAATACCCTGTTGTATGGTGTTGTGAGAGTGAAATCCCCTGTAATGGTATGGTGTGGATATTAGTTTTTTAGGGTCATTTTGGTCTTGTGTTTTAATCTGTTTCTGTGTTTTTTTTAATATATTTTTCCCCCGTATTTCATTTTTTTAAAAATAAAAATAAAAAAAAAAAAATTTGTCCCCTTGACAACGTGGGCGGATTTTGCCCCTTGGGCCCCTAAAAACACTTTCATTGTGTGATTGGTCAGTGTGCATCTGATAGTGTCTGGGAAGCGTGTTAATACAAGGGCACAGAGCTATAAAGGGGGGCCCCATAAACCCATGTGTTGTTATGCCTCTAAGACCCCATGGGGATAGCAAAAAAGGCGCTTGTGGTGTAGCACTCATTGGGCCCCCCCAGTTTGTGAAGTTCCCGTATCCCCAAATATATGATGGAGGTTAAATGCGACGTGAGAGTGACCTAAAGACGTGTCGACGAAACAATGGGCAAATCGCCAAAGTGCCTTGGGTTTATGAGGCAACTTACGTCAGGTGTTCCCAAATTTGGAAACCTATATGCACCCCACGAGGACTGGCGACTGGTGTTTTTCACGAAGTTCCCGGAAATTCATTGAAATGTTGTTAAATACGGGGTTCCCTATATGTAATCCCACCGGGAAATTTTGATCGCAGGTGAGGTGTCCTATGTGGGCAACGGTGCACGAGTGGATTTGCGGGGGTATGATCACAAGGCTGTTAAGTTCCCTTTTTGGAGAACCACAGTGTGGCCCGAATGGACATTTCGGAGAAGGAGCGACATCAAGGCCATTGGGTGATGCCAGTGCGACCAGGAAAGGGACAGGGGTTTAAAGATTTTGGGTTTGTGCTCTCCCGAGTCAGAGGAACAGCGTTGGGGAAAAAGTTGCGAAAAGCGTTAAGGGATATATTCCTCCCCAAATCGGAAGGGGTGTCACCCATACTTGAGGAGGTACCTAAGACCCCTTCATGTGAAGGAGCTTAAGTGAGAGGAGAGGTACTGTCCCCTACTCCTGTGCTGAGTAATAAACTGAGGTGAGGCTCCGTGTTTTAGTGACAGATATAGATGTGCATCGGGATGCATCCATTGAAGTGTGTGGTGGGGGACACTCGCTCCCGGAAACGCGCAGCAACAGCACCTGATTCAGATGATGTAATAACGCGGGCACAACGTCCTGGAACAAAGTCATGGGTAGAAATCGCAAGTGGTTCTGGGGCCGTGAGGAACAAACAGCACAGTGTCAAACGGCCCACGAAACTGGGGCTTGTGGTAAATTAAAATGTTCTCTCCAGGCTGGAATGCTGCTTTATATTAACATCTCCGTTCAAAGCAGGTGAAACTGCAGATCTAGAGAGTATACAGAGAATCTTTACTGCACATATAAGTTACGTAAAACACCTTAACTACTGGGAACACTTGGAAGCACTTAACCTGTACTCGCTGGAAGGCAGGCGAGAGAGATACACTTTGAAATGTGTCAGAGGACTAAGATTGTTCAACAGCCTCCCACCAACCATAAGGGTAATCACCAATAGACCCTTGGCTGCCTTTAAGAGGGAGCTGGGCAGATACTTAAAGTCGGTGCCGGATCAGCCAGGCAGTGGTTTATATGTTGGGCTGCATGCGGCCAGAAGTAAGTCTGGTTCATCAGGCCCTGATCCATTGGGAGGCCTGGTAGTTGACCGGGCCGCGGGGACGTTGATCCCTGGAATACCCTCCAGGTAGACTGCAGGTTGGGATATTCCTGACAAAGCCTCGGGTGTATGACTATTAATGTTACTAGGCTATGTGTGTTGCACCGAGGCACTGGTTTGCTGGGTTTATTTGCAGGTTTAGGGTGGATGTAGTTTTACTTCTTTGAGTAGCTGATGTTGATTAACCACGTGAGAGTGGACATGGGTTTAACTGGTTGGGGTTGGGGGGTGTAAGTTGATGTTGATTAACCACGTGAGAGTGGACATGGGTTTAACTGGTTGGGGTTGGGGGGTGTAAGTAGAAGTGAGGGATGTATGTGTCAGAATAAGTTTTTGATTCTGAAGAACTTTGTTTCGAGGTCAGGTGTAGGTTGTGTTAGGTTTGTCTTAGCGAAATTCTGTACTGTATATTTACTCACTGGACTGTAGTAGTACCAGTGTTAAGTTCTTCCTTATAACATGTAACTCTGAATGTACCTTGTAAGTTTTTTTATGTAGTGATCCGTTTATGGTTTAGAGTTTAATGCTTTCAATTTTGCGTTTAGGCATGTGACAGTGAGCATACTATCAGTTTGTGTGTGTGGAGGGAGAGTGTTAGAAGCGTCTGATGTTAGCAACAGTATTACGTAAACCTGTCATGTATGACACAGGTTTTTTAGAGGTTGGATGTACGTTGCGTTGTTAGGTCAGTATTAGTGCCATTATGTAAGGTGTCTGTAATTAATGGACTGGAGTTGTACCAGTGAAGATTCTTTGTTCATATCCAGTATCATTGTACCATATTGTTATACGTTAATACCTTTATCTGTATTTTGTACATAGTTTTAAATAACATATAAAGAAAAATCAACTTATACGATCTCCAATTCATTCTATTTCGTTTCATTCTCTCTAAATGTCTGAACAACCTATTTAGCCATCGTGATAATACCTTTAAAAACCACTCACCAACTTAGAATCTCATTCTAATTGTAATAATAACATCAATTATATTAATATTGATTATTATTATAATAATAATAATAATAATAATAATAATAATAATAATAATAATAATAATAATATTATTATTATTATTATTATTATTATTATTATTATTATTATTATTATTATTATGTATTTACATAAATATATTATTATTCTTTTTCGGGTCACCTTCCCTGAGTGGGAAACGACCGATGTGTTTATAAAAAAATATTAATAATACAAATGATAATTCTACTACTGCTGCTATTAATATTACTACTACTACTACTACTACTACTACTACTACTGCTACTACTACTACTACTACTACAACCATTAATTCTACTTATATTACTACCACTACTACTATTACACTACTTCTGTTACTATTATTATTATTATTATTATTATTATTATTATTATTATTATTATTATTATTATTATTAAATGTGGTAGTAGTTGTACTATTAGTACTACTATTATTATTAATAATAAATTTTAAGAATTATATGTCATCAAATAAACATGTTGGTTGTGTTACAGGTGGAACAGTTCTTCACATAGCAGTTGTGAAGGGTTATGATGATTGTGTTAAGATGCTGCTTGATGCTGGTGCTGACGTCAACTGTCAGGATGATTATGGCCAGACACCACTATACTACGCTGTTAGGAACAACAATATTGATATTGTTCAAATGTTATTAAATAATTCCCGCTGTGATCCCAGGAACAAAGGTAACAATCACATCACCGAACTAAGTTGTGAAATTAATAATGATTATTATGCTGATTTATATGGATGGTGTTATGTCCATGTTTGTGCTGTAGTGACTTAGTCTAGGGTGTGAGTGTTTGTGTGTGCACTCACCTAGTTGTGGTTGCAGAGGTCGAATCACAGCTCCTAGCCCACTTCTTCATTGGTCGGATTTTTAACGCCGGAGGGTTAGCCACCCAAGTTAACCCAAAAAAGTCAGTGCGTCATCGAGGACTGTCTAACTTATTTCCATTGTGGCCCTCAATCTTGTCCCCCAGGATGCGACCCACACCAGTCGACTAAACCCAGGTACCTATTTGCTGCTAGGTAAACAAGACAACAGGTGAAAGGGAAAAATAGTCGAAATGTTTCCCCCCCGCCGGGAATCGAACCCGGGCCTCCAGGGTGTGAAGCGAGAGCTTTAGCCACAAGGGCCTCTTCCTGCTCCATGAGCTTTATCATACCTCTTCTCAAAGCTATGTATGGATATTCCCTCCACTACATCTCTTCCCAGACTATTCCACTTCTTAATATATCTCTGGACTGAAGAAAATTCCAAAAATCCCTGTGATTCATGTGGTCTTCAACTTCCAATTGTGACCCCTTGTTGCTGCACCGCTCTCTGGAACATCTTGTCTCTGTCCACCTTTGTGGGTTTCCTCTCAGTATTTTATATGTCGTTATCATATCCCCCCTTTCTTTCCTGTCCTCCAGTGTCGCCAGGTCGATTTCCCATAGCCTCTCCTCATTGGACGTCCCCCTTAGCTCCGGGATTTAGTCTTGTTGCAATCTTTGCACTTTCTTTTAATTTTTTACATGCTTCGCAAGGTGTGGATTCCAAACTGGTGTTGCGCACTCTAATATAGGTCCCACGTACGGGGTTTACACAGGGTCCTGAACCCGAATCCTTATTAAGATGTCAGAATCTATTCTTAAGTTTGCTAGGGTGCCCATATGCTGCAGCAGTTATTTAGTTGATATGCACCTCAGGAGATGTGCCCTGTGTTATGCCCCACCCTAGATCCTTTTCTTGAGCGGGCGTTTGCAGTCTTTGGCCGTGTTATGCAGAAATGTGGGATACCCGGGGGCTAGCTCCTTGTCTAAGGGCAAAGGTTAAAAAATTAGACACCATCTCAGGCCTCCCTGCCACCACCCAAGCCACGCTTATCTGCTAAACAATCACAGTTTTGGAAATAAATTCCTGGAAGGATTTCCGTATAAAGTACTCTACAGTGCCCACAAGTGCACATTATGAATTATAAAATTATGCTTTACAATCATAACATTCATACTATTTGACCCCCTTCACTACTGTATATATTACAATGTCATGCAGAACCCTGCATAACACCCTCGACCTCAGACCATAGGACTCACTCTGATAGCAGGATTCCGAAGGACACTGCTAGGCAAAAGGAAAAAGCAAGATTATAAATCCGACTCTAAGGTCTGAGGCAATATTTAAAAAACTGAGGTACTAGATTGATTTATGTGAAAATTGTCGAACATAAAAGTGATCAAGTTCTATGCCAAGGGATCATCACAACACAGCGCTGGCCAAGCACTGGCGTTGATGCATTTACCCAATCACATCAAGCAACCTTATAAACTAGCAAGTTAACTTTGTACATAAGTGCCTGAGAAGTGCTAGTTTATGAAGTACCCCCAAAGCTCTCTATATTGCAGACAGACCAAACTAGATGTGCCACCAAAAAAATTTAAACAGTACATTTTCCGGAGGAGTTCAAAGGAAATGAAAAACAGATTTTACATGTTAAAATTTACTTAGAAAGCAACATCACATTATCACTCCCATTCAGCAATCTTTAGTAAGCAAAAAATGGTTCCCATGACACACCTCTGCGAGAAATCAGGAGACCACAGGGGGGGGAAAAATATTAGTCCCCCCCAAAAAGTGGGTGGATAATCCATAAATCTTGTTGGTGGGACTTCGCAGTAAAAACCCTTGATCATACTGAAGCCCCCCAAAAGATGGCCCTCCCGGGCCCGCCCCTAGTGTCTTCCCAAAGGACCTTGGAGTCACCCCAGCGGTGACCCAAAAGGAAAAAAAAAAATTAAAAACGCCCTGGGGGCCCAAAAAAACCCCTTTGGGTAAAAGAAAAATGCCCCCAAAAGTGGGGGGCCACCCCCAGTCCCATTCACTAAAACTTTTAGGTAACGCCCTTACCACATAAAACAGAGATGGGCGTCCAGAAACACTTAAAAAAAGGTAGCATCCTTACCTAGGTGGTAAAAATTGACTCCCCCCAAAACACACACAACACTACAGAGTCCTGATACCCCCAGCTCCAGTCAACCTGCCTTCCCCTTTTTGGGGGTGGTCCAGAGTTCCTCTACTTGTCTACGCAAATCACTGCAAAATAAAAAGATAAGTGATCTATACACTACACCGTGTACTTTAAACACGAGACGGCATGCCCCCATTCACCGCTACCCTCAATAAAGGGTCACAAGTTAAAAGGTTGGAAAAAACAAGGGTACCTCATAAGTCTGTGATTGTGGGTTTCCCCATTAAGTGAAAGGGAAAAGTAGAGGATGATGGGCACTATACACGTTTTAGAGTGAACTGATGATGAATATACACCTCAAAAAAGTTGCCTGCCAACACAAAAGAAGAGCCTTCTTTTTATAGTGCAAACTTCCTTTGTGCATGTTACGTTTTGCGAGAAGTAGCTGGGTGGCCTTATTGCCCCGCTCTACCCCGCAACAAAAACTGCGCCAAAACCCCCGTATCATTTTGCAAAACCCCGGGGAAGGGGCAACTCAGGGATTAACCCTAAAAGATCTTGGGGGGGAATGGCTATAAAAGGTTTAGGTACAGCGATAGTAAAGTTACAAATATGGGTGTGTCTGGACCATTGTCCTGGAAAAAAAAAAGATACCCCCCCACGGTTTTTTCATCATTTTGCATGTAGTTTTAGAGGAGACAAAACAACCTTATTTCTTAAATGTAGTGGCGGCGTCGTGAGTGTTTAAGGTCTCACCAGTGTGAGACCCTAAAGACAAGTCCACCGCTCTCGCTGGGTACACACACTCTTAGAAAAAAACACTCCACTTCCTTCAAAATAACTTATTTTAGCCAGCTTCTCATGCCAGGTGGCGTTGCCAAAAATTTACAAAACCTCTACCATATGAATTAACATAGCCCCCCCTTTTCAGATCCCTAACTTTTCACTAAGGTGCCCAGGTGAGCCACCATACAAATTCTTTCAGAAGATCCAAGCCCTTTCACAATCTGTACAAATTTTCCCGCTTAATCATCTTTTGGGGACTTTATCCCCCTCATTTTGAAGCCACAACACAGTTCCCTCATAGCTTCCAGGACCGGCTCCATGCCAAACCATCTCTCCCGCTTCCAGAAAAGTAACACCCCCCTCCGGGCCCCCCTCATCCTGGGCATTATCTTGTTCACTTAAGCTTGCTTGTTCCCTCGCTCCTTACTCTCTTGCTCGTTCCCTCGCTCTTACTCTCTTGCTCGGTTCCCTCGCTCTTACTCTCTTGTCGTTCCCTCGCTCAAACTTACTCCTCATTGCTCGGTTTCCTCGCTCCTTACTCTCTTGCTCGTTCCCTCGGCTCCTTACTCTCTTGCTCGTTCCCTCGCTCCGTACTTGTTACTTGCTGTTTTCCCTCGCTTCCTTACTCTCTTGGTCGTTCCTTCGCTCCTTACTCGTCTTGCTCGTTCCCTCGCTCCTTGCTCTCTTGCTCGTTCCCATCGCATCCTTACTCTCTTGCTCGTTCCTCGCCTCCTTACTCTCTTGCTCGTTCCCTCGCTCCTTACTTCTCTGCTCGTTCCTCGCCTCCTTACCTCTCTTGCTTGTTCTCTCGCTCCTTTACTCTCTTGCTCGTTTTCCCTCGCTCCTTAGCTCTCTTGCTCGTCCCCCCTCCCCCCCCCCTACCCCCCGACACACTGCTCTTACTCTCTAGCTCGTTCCCTCGCTCCTTACTCTCTTGCTCGTTTCCTTCCCTCGTTTCCTTACTCCCCATGGTTCACCTCTTACTCCAGAGTAGTTATTCCTTATATTCATGATTATATCGTATTCTTCACCACTCATTCATGACATCACGTCACCATCTCATGACCTCCACCGTCACCCACTCTCATGACCACTCACCGTCACCACTCTCATGACCATCCACCTCGTCAACCACTCTCATGAACCATCCACCGTCACCACTCTATGGACCATCCACCGTCACCACTCTCGATGGACAATCACCGTCGTCACCCTCTCTTCATGCCATCCACCGTCACCACTCTCCGGATGACCATCCACAGACACATCTCATGACCATCCACCCGTATACCTCGCTAGCTATACGCATCCACATCACCATTTTCAATGACCATCCACACAATTATCATTACTGTGCATTGTAGATTGACCAACATCATTGTCTTGATCTCATGCTATAACACCTATGTCCAATCTAATCACAATCACTGTCCGGCTTGACCATTATCAATCACTGTCATTTGACCATCTGTCATCACTGTCATGACGCTTCTCTCACTGCTCATGACCATCGGTCACACTGTCATGACCATTATCACCATCACTATCATGACCATTAACACATCACTGTCATGACATGTATCACCATCCTATTCATAAACCTTCTATCACCATCACTGTCATAACCATCTATCACCATCATGGTATAACCATCTGTTCATCATCAACTGTCATGACCATCCACCATCACTGTCATGGACATATCACCATCACTGTCATGACCATCTATCACCATCCACTGTCATGACCATCCTATCACATCATCTGTTCATGACCATCTATCACCATCATGTCATGACCATCTATCACCATCACTGTCATGGGACCATCTATCCCTTCACTGATCATCCACCATCTGTCATCACAGTCAATCACCATCACTTCCCCCCATGACCATATCACCATCACTGTCATGACCATCTATCACATCACTGTCTGACCATCTATCACCATCCACTGTCATGCCATCTGTCATCACATCACTGTCATGACCATATCCCAACATTGTCATTACATCTATCACCTTCACTGTCATGACCATGCTATCACCATCACATTTCATGACCCATCATGTCATCATCACTGTTCTGTACGCAATACACCATCACTGTCAATTACCATCTATCACCATCACTGTCATGACGATCTAGTCACCTTCACTGTCATCACCATCTGTCATTCATCACTGTTCAGGGACCATCATGGGTTCTTTTTCAT